CGCCGGGTTCTCCGCCTGCTTTCAAGGCGCGTTACGTTGCTCGAGGCTTCAGTCAGTGACAAGGGGTTGACTACTTCCAGACCTTCTCCCCCACCCCGAAGATGACCACTCTTCGGGTGTTGCTGCACGTCGCTGCTCAGCGTGACTACGAGCTGCACTCTCTTGATTTCAGCACAGCTTTCTTGCAGGGCAGCCTGCACGAGGAGATCTGGCTGCGCCGCCCACCTGGCTTCACTGAGTCGTTTCCTGCAGGTACCCAGTGGAGCCTCCGGCGACCAGTCTACGGTCTTCGCCAGGCGCCTCGCGAGTAGCACGACACACTGAGGACTACACTTGCGGCTCTTGGGTTTGCTCCTTCTACTGCTGAGCCGTCGCTGTTTCTACGCACCGAAACCTCGCTGCCGCCGTTCTACGTCCTCGTGTACATCGACGACCTCGTCTTTGCCACTGCTGACACTGAGGCACTGACCCTTGTGAAGTCGGAGCTGCAGAAGAGACACACCTGCACTAATCTGGGTGAACTGCACAGCTATCTTGGCTTGCAGATCACCCGGGACAGAGCACGGTGCACCATCACACTAACTCAGTCACACATGGTGCACCAGGTCCTTCAGCGCGTCGGCTTCCATTTCTCCTCGCCACAGCCCACTCCTCTATCTACCGGCCACTCGCTCTCAGCTCCACCTTCGGACGAGTCCATAGAGCCTAGTGGTCCGTACCCAGAGCTTGTGGGTTGTCTCATGCACCTGATGACGTGCACACGACCTGACCTCGCGTACCCTCTCAGCCTTCTGGTTCGCTACGTGGCTCCCGGTAGGCACCGAAAGGTGCACTGGGATGCTGCGAAGAGGGTACTGCGCTACTGGTGCAGTACGTCGGGCATGGGGCTCGTGCTTGGAGGACGGGGTCCAGTTGTCCTCACTGGTCACGCAGACGCGTCACAGAGTTACACATTCAGCCTCGGTTCCGGCACTGTTTCCTAGCGGTCTACCCGCTCGTCTTTGGTTCTCAGCTCCAGTTATGAGGCTGAGATCTACGCAGGGGCCATGGCTGCACAGGAGCTACGCTGGCTCACCTACCTGCTGACTGACTTGGGAGAACAGCCTCGTTCACCTCCAGTTCTGCACGTAGACAACAAGGCCATGATTGTCTTGTGTCAGGAGCACAGACTGGAGCACAGAACGAAGCACCTCGCTCTGCGATACTTCCTTGCTCGAGAGTTGCAGCAGCGTGGCCAGCTTCGTCTTGCGTACGTGACCACTAGGGCCAACACTGCTGATATATTCACCAAGGCACTTCCGCCTGGTGATCATCAGCGCTTCTCTACTGTGTTAGGCCTTGTTCCTACTTTGCCTCACATGCTCACTGTGTGAGTTTGCTTGTACTGTGATATATATATATATACATATATATACATATATATATATATGCCTGCATGCTTACACTTGTTAGGGTATGATCACTGTATTGTTTGTGTTTTTTATATACCGGTAACTCAAAATGTGAACTGGCCTTGTGGCCCTATGCTTGTGCTCGGACAGAGTGATGACTTTGTGATCCACCCTTAGTTTTCTTTGTTTTTTTTTTTACTGGTCTTGTGACCAGGCCCCTAGATTCGTTTTGAGGTAGTCTGACGCCTCAGTGTACACCCCTCTTCCTAGTCTGGCTGTCAGAGTTACCTATTTTTTTTAGTCTGAAAATTCAGACAAGCACAGCTTCTTTTGTCTGAACTGTCAGAGTTACTTCAAATTTTAAGATGTTCATGCAGTTTCATAACAGCATAGCTATAATAGCATTGAAGCTGATTACAGCATACCAACGCAATTGTGCGGCCAGAAATGGGGCACTCTGATTGGTCATTTGTCAATAGTTAGGATCACTGAGCAGTCAGGGTCGAAGTGTGGGCATCAGACAATGGCCTCGTGCAAGTGCCAAGTGTGGCAAGCTCCCAATCAGCTGACCTGGCAGCAGGCACGGTATCGCTCGGAACTTTTCTGTGCTGGGCGCGCTGGCTGCAGCAAGAGTTTTCAACTGTGTACACCCTATGTGCGCGGAATATTCTCTCATAAAGTTACAGATTTGAAATTTTGACTCGGTTTGGGAAGGGGAAATGATGTGCGGTTCTGCTGAAGTACGAGACTCATATGTGACACGGCTTTCGGTTGCACCAATTCGCTTTTCGCCATGTGCGATTCGCTAAAATCGTTTTGGCCATGTGCGATTGGCTATCTAGTTTCACAATTTAAGGGTTATTATAAGCCCCCAATGAATTCGACAGTCGAGATAGCGTCGACAAAGTAGTGTATCCTGGTACCCCTACTCGAGCAGTTTTATCCGGAGGAAATCGTTAGTGCTGGCCCGTACACACGTGGGTGTATCGAAAAAAAGTTTCGAGGAAGTTTCGTTCCGATAACCTTTCATTCAGTCGGCGGAAACCCCTGTATAACCGGTTTCAGAGTGGACCCCCGATACAAGTTTGAGGCTCAGCCTACACTACTATGACTACTCTGAAATTTCAGACAAGTCAGTTAAAAAAACTCTGAAAAATCAGACAGGGTGCATAAAAAAATTCTTTGAGTTCAGACTAGGTACAAAAAAAAAGTCTGAACGGACTCTGAATCAGACTCCAAAGTCTGTCTGATATCTAAGGCCTTGCTTGTGACCACTTGTTCTCCCTCACTTAGCCTATGGGGATGTGTCAAAATGTTATATTGTTTACATTGTATATGCTATAGTGGGGTAGCCCATAAAGGGTACAACCCAATTAGGGTTAGTACTTGTATCTAACTGTTTCATAATTCATTCATTTTCGTTCGTTATTCTGACACTATCTCCCCTCCTGCACGCTCTGCGTCTGCAGTTGCTGCCAGCCCCCATACATCCTCTGCTACTGTTACAGGTGCTATCTCCCCCCCAGCACCCTCTGCTACTGCTGCAGGTGCTGCCTCCCCCACAGCACCCTCCATTTCTGCAGGTGCGACCTCCCCCCCAGCACACTCTGCTCGTGCTATGACTTCTTCTGTTACTTCCACCCCCATTGCCTGCACTGCTACTGTTCCTGCTGCTGCTGCTGCTGCTGTTGCTGCTGCTGCTCCTGCTCCTGATTCTCCTGCTTCTGCTCCTGCTACTTCTGCTGCTGCTAAAACTGCTCCAAAAGCCCCAACTGCCCATAACCTCCTACAGCTGCCTCCTCTTTCCCAGCTGCTGGTGCCACTTCCGATTCCAAAGCAGTTGCTGCTGCTACTGCTGCGGCCTCCCCTGCTGCTGCGCCCACCACTCCCCCTTCAAGACCGGCTGTCGCACCTTTCACCTCTCCCCTTACCCGTGCGCCTTCCAAGGGAACTCCCTCCTCCCCTCCGCGAATAAACGCCCCTGCCACGAAAAACCCAAACCAGGCCTCAAACGCTGCACTCGTCTCCGCCTGCGTTTTCGTCATGCAGCTGCTGCCCGTAAATCTGTCCCAACCGGGCAGCTCAACCGTGCTTGTGAACGTGGGGCAGTGAGACGGGCCATGCACCCCTGTGGAGTAGGAAGGCATGCGCCCTAACATGCGACTGCAGTCCACCTGCAGCAGTAACTTCGCATGTACTTTCGCGATTTCTTTCGCCACATCTGCGACGTGGGCGGCGTCTGCTGGTGGCTGCGCGTCCGGACAGGAAATGTTTCCTGAAATGGCATTCCTGAACGCAGCGCGGTATGCTAAGAGCTCTGCATTTTTTTTTCGTAAGCCGAGGATGGAAGTCGGCCCACTGGCCGATTCTCCCTCGAGATCTGCTGCCAGCTTTCTGGCAGTCCGCGGAAAGTTTTAAATCCGAACGTGACTTGGAAATCCCAAGTCAAGAGATGAGGGGATCCTCTTGGTCCCAAAGAGAGACCTTGAGGGGGCGACACGTTCAATGCTGAGGCAAGATCTTGTAGTAACTTAGAATACACGATGTTTGATAAAAGTATCACTATGCAAAATGATTTAGAAATCCTGGTTTTCAAAACCAACGGCTGAATAACGAGGCCTTAAAAATGGTGAAGATCACGTCACAAGAGCAGACCCACCTGCTTCTCCGCGAGAGAGGCAATGTAGACCAGAGTTGCGAGATCAATAACGTTGAAGGATTTTCTCGACAAGGTCTAGGAACTACGAGCGCGGGATGGCATCCTGTTTGTTCCTCCACACCCCAGATCGCAAGCAGTGGAAACCCTCTTCGACATGGTACTCTAATTCAGGCGGGAAATCCGAGCCGTTCGGCTCGCTCCGTGAGAGCTGCTCGTGCTTTCTCTCCGTCACTAACGCCAGCCTGGGGAGGTTACTCTACATGCGACCACGATTTCTGCAGGCAATGACAGGTTACCTCTGCATGGGTGACAAGTGCTCACTGGCAAAATAGGGCACATGGGAATCATCGAGTGGCCAAAAGAGCGAATGGGCGAACTAGAGCTCTCGCAGGAGCAGTTGCAGATTTCGTGAATTCGCACAAGCAGTTGTTTCAGCACACTGGTAATCCGTTATCGCAATTCCACTCGATAATGATTGCTACACGAGGTCGAAGAGTTCCCACCATTGCCACGGATGATTGTCGACGTGCGAGCTGGGTTTTGTGAACCATCTCAACTCCCCGAAACCTCACTTTCCTGGACAAATGCTAACTATACAATTAGTACACAGATGGTCGATTGACCTGTATGGAGAGACACAATCATTCACACGAGACCAATTTTGCAACTAGGTTGTTGAAAATGGCTCTCAACTCAAGCCTGGCTCCACTAGAAAATGGCACGCACCATTCATACCACATTATATCTGGAGGGCCAACAGTAATAGCACCCAAGACCTGTCCTTGCAAGCTGATAGAGACTCAAGAGAGCTCAAAGCCGGTTCCGGAGGAGATGGCGCACTTGAATTTATTCCGCAGTGTGCTGGCTTGTTGGAGTGTAAATGCGATCCACACAATGTGACAGCGCAAAGCCCTGCTACTCAGCAGTACTCGGGGCTCAGAACTCTGCGCTCATGAGAGCTCAAAGCCAGTTCCAGAGGAGATGGCGTACTTAAGCTTGTCCCGCAGTGTGCTGGCTCGTTGGTACGTGGGCAGCTGCAGCACAGCACGGGGTACACAGCAAGGGGTACACAGCACGGGGTACACAGCAAGGGGTACACAACACGGGGTACACAGCAAGGGGTACACAGCAAGGGCTACACAGCAAGGGGTACACAGCACGGGGTACACAGCACGGGGTACACAGCAAGGGGCACACAGCACGGGGTACACAGCACGGGGTACACAGCACGGGGTACACAGCAAGGGGTACACAGCACGGGGTACACAGCACGGGGTACACAGCACGGGGTACACAGCACGGGGTTCAAGGAAACCCAAGTCAGTCAAAGGCATGCTCAGATGGTGAGATACAAGAAAACATGGAGATATATGACTACAGAAAGAAAATATGAAATGACGGGAGTATGGATATACGGAAATATGGATTTACGAAAGTATAGTATTACAGAAAAGAGGTGACAACTGAGTGGCCAATCGTTACATCGAGTCGCTTGTAGAGCACAGAGAACAAGCACTACCTTTGCATTAGTATCAGAATGTAGCACAGCAAAAGCAATGATTACCTTGAGCAGGTTGTAGCAGGTGGAAGCAGTGGGAAGCCAGCCCACATCGGGCCCTCCTAGTGTAGCCCACATGGACGCGTCCACATTCACCTGGTAGTGAGGCGGGTTATATGGGGTATAAAACACGAGGAGGGAGACGGAGTGGGAAGCCAGTCCCCATCGGGCCCTCCTAGTGTAGCCCACATGGACGCATCCATGCTGACCTGATAGCGAGGCGGGTTATAAAGGGTACGAAACATACGCAGCATGAAGCAGAGGGCAAGTGCTAACAGTGGGTAGCCAGTCCACATCGGGCCCTCCCAGTGTAGCCCACATGGACGCGTCCACATTCACCTGATAGCAAGGCGGGTTATATGGGGTATAAATAAATCACACAGCACGAGTCATGCCACCACAAGCCAGTCCACATCCGGCCCTTGTGGTGTAGCCCACATGGACGCATCCACATTCACCTGATAGCGAGGCAGGTTATATGGGGCATGAAACACATGAAACACATGAAACACATGCAGCAAGAGTCATGGGGCATTAAGCCAGTGCTGCCCTCCTAGCTTAGCCCATATGGATGCGCCACATTCACCCAATAGCGAGCGAGGTCACAAGCTGTAATTCACTGCTATCACCACCATCCGCCTTTCAGTCACATTTGTTGATAGTCACACCTACCTTGTGGATGGTGAGAGGCGGGTTGAGATGCTTGAACCCCAGCAAGGGGGGTCGCGAGCAGCTGGTCACGAATTTGAGCAGCTGGCTCTTCTCCTCCCTCGATAGCTCCTTCACCACCTGATGAAGTGGTGTCACACGATGGGAAGATACATGGAAGAAATTTGAGGGCGAAGAAAAAGAAAGACTACAATAGGGGTTTGTGTTCCAGTTGAGCAGCTGGCAGCGAATCTGAGCAGCTGGCTCTTGTCCTCCCTTGAAAGCTCCTTCACCACCTGATGAAATGGTGTCAAGCAGGAAACACAGTGGCCCCAAGTGTCTGAATAACTTTAGCAGCCACGCATAGAGAAAACACCCATGGGGCTGACATTGACTCTTTCACGCACCTCCCAGAACATCTTGATGGTTCGGTCGCTCTCGGTGTATCTGCCAGAGCGCATGTGTGCTTATGGCAACTTTTGCACAATGATGCACAGAAGCCAACCACGCACCTCCCAAAACATCTTGATGGTGCGGTCGCTCTCAGTGTATCCCCCCGAGTATCTCGTGTGCACCCTGAGGTCCTCCACGTCCACGTCCTGCTCTCCGCCTGACAGCAGCTGTTTAAAGAGAGAAGCACACACAGGACACAGGCATGCATATATGGGATGGGACACAGGCAGACACACTGGGCTTGAGGCCTGGAGATGTGTGCCTTGAGATCCTCCACGTCCACGTCCTCCTCCCCGCCTGACAGCAGCTGGTCAGCGGGAGAGAATATACAGCGACAGGGTCACACACACAGAGGCATGATAGGAACACTCGGATTGGGCTTGAGGCACAGAGATTAGGGTCAGAGGTGTGTGCCTTGAGATCGTCCACGTCCGCATCCTCCTCCCCGCCTGACAGCAGCTGTTTAGAGAGACCAGTCACAGGAGCACACAGGGGACACAGGCAGACACACTGGGCTTGAGGCCTAGAGATGTGTGCCCTGAGATACTCCACATCCACATCCTCTTCCTGACAGCAGCTGCTCAGAGAGAGTTGAAGCAGTTATTTAGACACATGCTGCTTGATTACACCCAGAGTCGTAGACACAGACCGCAGAAGCAAACAAGCAACTCTGTTGCTATCTCCTGTGAATTCAGCTGGTTTCTCGCTATCTTGTGTGTTCCAAGCTGCTCTGTTGCAATCTCCTGAAATCTCACCTGATTGAACTCCTTTGGGCTGAACAGCCGCAACCACTCGGGCTGGATCAAATCTGAGAGGCCCCTCAGAAACGCCGCCACCACTGCTGCCATCTGCCAGTAGGAGGTGGAAGGAAGGGGTGCGCATGGGCCCATGGGGGAGATGGAAAGGGGGGTTACAAGGGGGCGGGTAGAGAGGAGACGGGGCCTTTGAGTTGACTCAACAGCCGCAGCCACTCAGGCTGAATCAAATCTGAGAGGCCCCTCAGGAACGCTGCAACCACCGCTGCCATCTGAACAAGTGGAGGATGGTGGCGGAAGGGAGGGGGAGGGGGAAGGTGGAAGGGGGGAGAAGAAAGTTGCAATGGTCAAGATTTTCCACTGCAAATCTAAAAAATCAAGATATGCAAATCTCAAAAATCAGGATCTGCAAATCTAAAAAATCAAGATTTGCAAACCTCAGTTTTAGGATGGCTAATTTTGAAATTTGAAACGCCTAAAAAATCATTGGTCATTGCCAATTTCAGGTTCAGGGTTGTGGATGGTTAAGGTGGCAGTCAGCCACAGCAGGATACACCACAGCTTGTTCTCATTGGTCACTGTTAAACCCCCCTGACTACTGATAAAACCACCTGAAATTTCACCTGACGGTTGAGATTCTTTCACTGGCCCTTGCAGCTTGTTGAATCCACCTGACAGTTGTTGAAACCACCTGAAATCTCACCTGACGGTTGAGCTTGTAGTCCGCCACAGCATGGATGTACTGCAGCTTGTTCTCATTGGTGACTGCGATGTGACTGCCGCCCGGCCACAGCTCCACGATGCTGTGCTCTCCCAGCACCTCTTCTGTCACTGTGAAGTCTAATGCCAATTCCGAGGCATCCCCCTCGTAGTGCTGAAGGTGGGTGGGGGGATTTGCGAGGGGGGAAGGGGGAGAAAGAGTTTTGAGACGTCTCAAAACTAGATTTGCGAGAGGGGAAGGGGGAGAAAGAGTTTTGAGACGTCTCAAAACTAGATTTGCGAGAGGGGAAGGGGGGGAAAGAGGCGATATGACTGCTGCCCGGCCGGCCGCAGCTCCACAATGCTGTGCTCGCCCAACACTTCTTCAGTCACCGCGAAGTCCAACGCCAACTCAGATGCATCCCCTTCGTAGTGCTGCATGGAAGGGTAAGGGACACTAGGGCTTCACTCATCACTCGCAGCCCCACAATATTGTGCTCTCCCAACACTTCCTCTGTCACTGTGACGTCCAATGCCAATTCTGAGGCATCACCCTAATCACTAGCAGCCCCACTGTGGTGTGCTCTCCCAACACTTCCTCTGTCACTGTGACGTCCAATGCCAATTCTGAGGCATCCTCCCCGTAGTGCTGCGGAGAGGGGCAGGGGGGTAAGGGGCAGGTGGTGCATTAGTCACTGCGATGTGACTGCCACCCGGCCGAAGCTCCACAATGCTGTGTTCGCCCAACACTTCTTCAGTAACCGTGAAGTCCAGAGCTATCTCCGAGGCATCCCCCTCGTAGTGCTGCATCGAGAAGAGGAGAGGAAAACGGGAGGGGATGGCATGGAAGAGAGATGGGTGGCTACTGCCCGGCTGCAGCTCCACGATGGGTACATCCGGGCCCTTTGTGTCTGGCGTTCTGACTAAAAGACTTTTTCTTACGACTTCCCTCATTTTTTCAGATTAGTACCGATAGGCTTAGTTCAATGGATCGTTCTTAATCTCTTAGAAGGCTTGCAGCGGATCGAAACCAGCTGATTTCAACATGGAAGAGAGATGGGTGACTGCCACCCGGCTGCAGCTCAACGATGCTGTGCTCTCCCAGCACCTCCTCTGTCACTGTGAAGTCCAATGCCAGTTCAGATGCATCTCCCTCATAGTGCTGCATCGATAAGAGAAGGACGGCGGAAACGGGAGGGGATGGCATGGAAGAGAAGAGAGATGGGTGGCTACTGCCCGGCCGAAGCTCCACGATGCTGTGCTCTCCCAGCACTTTCTATGTCACTGTGAAGTCCGCCTCAGAGTTTGCTCGGAGGCACCCCCCTCATGGTGCTGCACCGGGTGGATGGGAGCAAGAGGAGGAGAGGCACGAGTGGCACGAGTTGCATGGTACTTCAAATACATGAGATTCCGGTTCAGCTCCACGTCCAATGAAGAGAGCTCGTCCAACACGTATCGCCCCACCAGCTTGGACACAAAGAGTGGAGCGAAGCTGTACTGGAGGAGAATGCCCTCGTAGAGTGCCTTGCCCACTACGCTGAGACACACAGTGAGAAGTCCCCCCCACCCACCTTGAGGTACATGAGGTTGCGGTACAGCTCCACGTCCAAGGATGAGAGCTCATCCAGAAAGGCATATCTCCCCACTAGCTTGGAGACGAAGAGTGGCGCGAAGCTGTATTCCAGCAGGATTCCCTCGTATAGCGCCTTGCCCACTATGCGGCCGAGAAACTCCACCATGGGAATGCCGTGGCCCAGCGCTGCTGCTGCCGGGTGTGGATACAGGTAACCCTCTTCTGTGGCCGCCTGGAGGAACAGGCCATAGCTGGGGAGAGCAGGGAGGGAAGGGAGGGAAGGGATGGATGAAGAGAAGAACCCAAACTCCAGTACGATGCGGCCGAGAAACTCCACCATGGGAATGCCGTGGCCCAGCGCTGCTGCTGCCGGGTGTGGATACAGGTAACCCTCTTCTGTGGCCGCCTGGAGGAACAGGCCATAGCTGGGGAGAGCAGGGAGGGAAGGGAGGGAAGGGATGGATGAAGAGAAGAACCCAACTCCAGTACGATGCGGCCGAGAAACTCCACCATGGGAATGCCGTGGCCCAGCGCTGCTGCTGCCGGATGCAGGTAGAGGTAGCCTTCTTCTGTTGCTGCCTGGAGGAAGAGCCCGTAGCTGGGGAGAGAGGAGGAGGAGAAGCGGGAAGGAGGGAGGGGACGGGGGAAGAAGAAGAATGAGAAAGAAACTCCACCATGGGAATGCCGTGGCCCAGCGCCGCTGCTGCCGGGTGCGGGTAGAGGTGGCTCCTCTGTGGCTGCCTGCAAGAAGAGCCCGTAGCTGGGGTGAAGAGGGAGAGGGAGAAGAGTAGAAAAACAGAAAGTGGAGAAATCAGAGCTCTGCTGCTGCTGCCGGATGCGGGTAGAGGTAACCCTCCTCTGTAGCTGCTCGCAAGAAGAGCCCGTACCTGGGGAGAAGAGGGGGGGACGGAGGGGACGTGGAGGATGGATGGAAAGAGAGAAGGAAGGTGAAAAAACGGTAGGTCGCTCTGCATGCCAGTCCAGGTGTCACAAGAACCACCGTTACGCCATACCGCCTACCCCTGCACAATGGTTGTTGAGTAGGGGGGAAAGCAAACACCTGTTTGGCTTGACTCATGGTTCGAAGGGCTGCAATACAAGAAGATGACGCTTGAGCAGAGGGGAAAGCGACAGCCATTGAGACTTAGGCGAGCAGCAGTTAGAAAGATAATTTTAGCAAAAGAAAGACAGTGATACTCTCTGTGTGGGTTCGAAGGGCTGCAATACGTGCAGATGACGCTTGAGCAGAGGGGAAAGCAAACACCTGTTCGGTTCGCCACAGACATGTTCGTGTTTGCCGCAGCACCGCATGCTCATACGCTGCACCGGCCGCTCATACGCTGCACCGCCCGCTCATACGCTGCACCGCCCGCTCACACGCTGCACCGCACGCTCATGCGCTGCACCGCACGCTCACACGCTGCACCGCCCGCTCATACACTGCACAACCTACCAACTCAAAGTGTCACCTGCCACTCAATGTGCGACCTGGCCCAATCGCCACCTGCCCCAGGTGCCACCTACCCGCGGTCGAAGGCTGCTTTAGCAAGGTCAGTGAGGAACTCCTTAAAGAGTCCTCCCTGGTCCATGCCTATCTCGACATCACATGCACCACTTGTCCCAGGCGCCATTAACCCCTAGTGCCACGTACCCCGGGTCGAAGGCTGCTTTAGCAAGGTCAGTGAGAAACTCTTTGAAGAGTCCGCCCTGGTCCATTCCTATCGCGACATCACATGTACCACCTGTCCTCTCTACACAACCTGCCACACATGCCACCTGCCCCAAGTACAGCTCACTCCAGGTGCCACCTACCCCGGGTCGAAGGCTGCTTTAGCAAGGTCAGTGAGGAACTCTTTAAAGAGTCCGCCCTGGTCCATGCCTATCTCTTCTGCTCCAAACGCATTTACGAATGACACACGCACACGGCCCTGTGGGGTGGGAGAAGGAGAGAAAGAGTGCGCGAGAGAGGGGGGAATGGAGGGTTGAGCAGAACAGAGGGAGGGAGCAGGGCAAGGCCGCCCTGGTCCATGCCTATCTCCTCTGCTCCAAACGCATTCACGAGTGAGACGCGCACACGACCCTGTGGGGTGGAGAGTGCGAGAGAGAGAGTGAGTGAAGCTTTTGAGAGAGTGACAAAGAAATGAGGGGGAGAGCATGCGAGAGCGAGGGGGCAATGGGAGGAAAGGTCCGCCCTGGTCCATTCCTATCTCTTCCGCTCCACACGCATTCACAAATGACGCGCACACGGCCCTGTGATATGCTGGGAGAAGGAGAGAAGGGGAGTGAGGGAAGGAGACACGCACAGCGGAGGAAGTAATATCCCTTCCAGAAGTAATACCTTGAGCATGGGGCCCAGTTGGTTGAGGCGCACGAAAGCATCTTCCCCAAACCGACACACCCACCACCGGTGAGAGTCACACCCACCTCGTGCCACACCTTGTCGATCCCACAGCACCTTCCTCTCAGTGATACCTTGAGCATGGGGCCCAGTTGGTTGAGCCGCACGAAAGCATCTTCCCCGAACCGACACACCCACCACTGGTGAGAGTCACACCCACCTCGTGCCACACCTTGTCACTCCCACAGCACCTTATAAATCACAAGAGGTACCTTGAGCATGGGTCCGAGCTGGTTTAGTCGCACGAACGCATCTTCGACAAGCAAATCCCGCCGCATGGACACGTCCACCACGGGCCGCACCATGCCCATCCCGGGGGCAGCCCCTAATCCATGCCGCGCCTTGTCCGCTTGAATCAGCTCCCGGAATATGTGCACCCTGGGAAGAGAGACAGGGAGAGCACAAGGGACAGCCAGAGGAGGAGTGGAGAAGCGGTACAGGTGAGGGGTTTGAGGCTGTCACGCGTGGCCCGTGACTCTATGTTTCAGTTGAAATGAGCTCCCACGAGCAAGCAGGTCGCGCCGCACGGACACGTCCACCACGGGCCGCATCACCATGCCCATCCCGGGGGAACCGCCTAGCCCATGCCTCGCCTTGTCCGCCTGAATGAGCTCCCAGAATATGTGGACCCTGGGGAGAGAGTAGTGGGACATGGGGGGCACAAGAAACAACGGAATGGGGAGTGGGAAGAGGGACAACCACACGGGACGTCCACCACGGGCCGCACCGTGCCCATCCCGGGGGTAGCCCCTAATCCATGCCTCGCCTTGTCCGCTTGGATGAGCTCCCGGAATATGTGCACCCTGAGAGAAGACAGGGGGGAGAGCACAAGGGACAGCCAAAGGAGGAGAGGAGAAGAGGGACTGGAGAGGGGTTTGAGGCTGTCACACCAACCCCATGCCTCTCCTTGTCTACTAGTAGAATGGGCTCCCACGAGCAGAGCGGGTCATGCCGTACGGACACGTCCACCACCGCGCCTTGTCCGCCTGAATGAGCTCCTGGAATATGTGCACCCTGAGACGAGAAATGAGACATGGGGGATGGGGGGCACAACCAGGGACAGCTGAAGGAGTGGGGAAGAGGGGCGGGTGAGGGGTTTGAGCCTGTCACACTCTGCCTGTGCCATCCCCACTTTTTATAATACAGCACGCACCTTTTCTCAAACGGCAGCACGTGGGGCAGTGTGCGCGCGCAGCACAGCAGCCATCACGGACCCACTCTGCTGCTCCTTGCCCCTCTCCCTCTCTCCTCCTCCCTGCCATCCCTACAGCTCATCGCACCTTCCCCTTCCTTCTCAACAGCTCACCATACCTCTTTTCAAACGGCAGCACATGGGGCAGCGTGCGCAGCACAGCAGCCATCGCCGAGCCGCTCTGCTGAACCTTCCCCTTCTCCACGCCTCCTCTCCCTCTCCCTCCTCCCGCCATCATCACCCCCCCCTCTCCTCCGATTTCCCCTCCTCCGCCTCCTGCCCCACCGCCCATGCCTAGTTCCCCCATCCACTCCCCCATCTCCCAGTGCTCCGCCCCTCTGCCCATCATTGCGCCCATCCCTCCTCCCCCCTCGCCCCCCACGCCATGGTGTCTGGCTGCACCTGCAGCAGTGGGAGCACCAGGGGAAGGAAGGGAATCGGAACGGCAGAGAAAACGGGAAAGCAATGAGCTCACAGAAAATGGGAGTTGACTTTTGAGTCGACTCAAAAGTCAAGCGGTGGGAGCAGCAGGGGAAGGAAGGGAATCGAAACGGAAGAGAAAACGGGAAAGCAATGAGCTCACAGAAAATGGGAACCAGAGGGAAGGCTTGCAGAAAGCTCGGCTGCAGTCCCGATCGTGCAGAGAGAGGGGGCAGCGAGGAGGAGAAAGGGAAAGGGACGTGTAACCACCAGGGAAACAGTACAGTACCCACCGGGTCGCCCAACATACCTGCTGCCGAGATCACAGGCGGTGGGCGGCGATCAGCTGGGGCCAGCCAGAGAGAAGGAGATGACTTTTGCGTTAATTCAGAATGGGTTTGTACGCACCTGCTGCGGAGATCTCAGGCGGTGGGCGGTGATCAGCTGGGGCCAGCCAGAGGGAGGAGGCACCAAATGGCTGCTTCTAGTAGAGTAATCGGTGTATACCGTGTGTGATGAGGCGGTTTTTGAGTCGACTCAAAAATCGCCTCATCACACACGGGTAATCGGTGTGTAGCTCGTGTTGAAAATATATGTAGGCAGACAGCACATGAAAGAGGCCGTTTACCTGCTGCCGAGATAACAGGTGGGGGGCAGCGATCAGCAGGGGCCAACCAGAGGGAAGGCTCGCAGAAGGCTCGTCTGCAGTCTCGGTCGTGCAGAGGGAGGAGGCAGCGCGTGGCTGCTTCTAGGAGAGCGGATTGCGAGGGGGTGAGAGGAGAGGAGGCGGAGGAAGAGGCGGAGGAGGGGGATGGGGAGGAGGAGGAGGGGGAGGAGATGAGGGTGTTGTAAACGAGAGTGTTGAGTGTTGCTGCGATGACCCTTTGCTCCGAGAGAGAGAAAGGGATCTGGATTACATGGGAAGGCAAACCAGGGGCACAAAGCAGAGGGGATAAGGAAGCAAGAGGGACAGGGAAGACAGAGAGAGCAGATGAGAAGGCGTTGATGTTGTAAACGAGGGTGTTGAGTGTTGCTGCGATGACCCTTTGCTCGGAGAGCAATAAGGGGATCTGAAAGATGAGGGGAACAAAGCAATACGTGCAGAAGGGGGAGGAGTTGATAATTGAGAGTGTGTTGTAGACTAGGGTGTTGAGTGTGGCTGCGATGACTCTTTGCTCCGAAAGATAGAAGAGGATCTGACAGGCGAGGGAGTGGGTATACAGACAGAAGGAAGGAGATGGTTTTTTGTTTGGCGAGGGTGTTGAGTGTTGCTGCGATGACTCTTTGCTCCGAAAGATAGAATCGGGTCTGGAGGATGAGAGGAGGAACAATGGACAGGGAAGCAAGAGACACAGGGAAACAAGAGAAACCGGGGAGAAAACGATCACCGCATTCCACCGAACCGCAACCACGCAGCACCGCACAGCACCCACCTGTCTCTGGTGGAACTCCTCATCATCCAGCATGAGCAGCAGGTGGGCGTACGCCCTGCAGAACAACATCAACCCACCCACCACCCAACACCGCACACAACCCACCACCTCACTGTCCAGCACCGCACAGAACCCAACATCAAACCACCCTACCGGAATGCACTGCAACACACCCACCTGTCTCTGGTAGAACTCCTCATCATCCAGCACAAGCAGCAGGTGGGCATACGCCCTGCAGTACACCGTCACCCCACCTCACAGGCACCGCACAGAACCACACCCCACCGTGCAGCACTTCACAGAACCCACACCACACCCCCGCCCACCATCCAGCACCGCACAGCACCCACCTGTCTCTGGTAGAACTCCTCATCGTCCAGCACGAGCAGCAGGTGGGAATACGCCCTGCAGAACACTCACCACTGCCACCCCGCTCCTCATACGCTCCACATCCCACCACCCCACCGCACAGCACCGCACAGAACCCAACATCCCACCACCCCACCGTACTGCACCGCACAGCACCCACCTGTCTCTGGTAGAACTCCTCATCCTCCAGCACAAGCAGCAGGTGGGCATACGCCCTGCAGAAAACCGTCACCCCACCACGCAGCCCAGCACAGAACCCACTGCCCCACCGCACAGCACCACACAGCACCCACCTGTCTCTGGTAGAACTCCTCGTCGTCCAGCACGAGCAGCAGGTGGGAGTACGCCTGGCAGAACACAGTCATCACCACTGCCACGTCAGCCGCCACCCCTGCCACCCCCTTCCTCATACTCTCCACATCCCACCGCTCCCCTCCTCCCTCTCCCCCCTCTCTTCCCTCGAATCCCCCGGTTCCTGTTCCCTCCCCCTCCCCCTCCCCCTCCCCCTCCCCCTCCTCCTCCTCTCCCCCCTCATCAATATCCTCTTCCATATAGTCACCTGTCTGCGTCTCCCAAAACGTCCTCCCTCCTCCCTCTCCCCCTCCTCCCCCTCCTCTTCCTCTGCGCCCTCTCTGTGCTTCTGCTGCGCGTCTCTGGAACGTGGAGGAGAGAAAGGTAGACCACCGTTGTGCTGCCGTTGACCCTGGTTGACTTGATTGACCAGCCTGCCGCCCGCCTATGAACGCAGCCAGCGCAGCGTCATCATCACCCGCACTCCCGGGCGGTCTTCCCTGGCCGGCAGAATCTGTCTGCATGTGGTCAACGCCCGTTCTATCTCTTCCTACCCCTTCTCCTCCCCTTCCACCTCCTCCACCTCCTCCACCTCCTCCTCCATGTGGGTTCCCCCACTCATCCTCCTCCTCCGCCCTTCCCTCCCCTCCCTCCCCACCTCCCCCATACCCGTCCAAAAACGACCTTGGAAACCAGCTGCCCGAGAACTGGGGCAGTTGAAACGAACCAGCCACTCCTCCTCCCCCTCCCCCTTGCCTTCTCCCTTCCCTCCTCCCTCTGTTTCCCCTCCTGCTAGATCCCTCTCTTGCCCTCCCACCACCACCACCAGCAGCAGAACCAGAACCACCACCAGCAGTACCAGCAGCAGCATAACGAGTAGCACCAGCATCGCCAGCAGCAGCCGCCTGTATTCCCTTGGAACCACTCTGTACCCCTTGCAAACCACTCTGCATCCCCTCACTCTCCGCATACGCCTGAGAAATAGAGATACGGCAGTGAGCTACGAGCCAGTGCCACAGGCCCGTGATCACCTCGCGAGTGAAAGCCAGGACATTGAGGAGAGGGAGCACCCGCCCTGAGGACGCATGCACCGAGAAGAACAGGGTCAGCAGGAGCGAGTAGAGGCGGCCGAAATCGCCCATGTCTAGCTGCTGCCGCCCTGCTGTTACTCCTCCTGCTGCTGCTCCTGATGATGCTACTGCTGCAGGTTTCCCTCCCAATTCTGCTGCTTTTTCCGCACTTTTTTCGGCTTTAAGGGCCTCTTCTAGGACTCGAAGCACGTGCCACCGCTGGCACAGCGGGGAAATATCCTCGAAAAAACAAGGGTGCACCTGCCTCCGCCTGCCTCTTCTTCCCCTCCCTTCCTCTTCCTCATCCTCCTCATCCTCCTCCTCCTCCTCCTCCCGCTTCATTCCCTTCATCCCTTTCCCTCCTCTCACCTCTCTCACCTCTTTCTCCTCATGGTCAATCACAGCAGCAGCTAGGGCGCAGAGGGAGTGGACATAGAGTGGCAAGTTCAGACCGGGTAGGAACAGCTCAGAGGAGAGTGAGGGAGAGGGAGGAGGAGGAGGAGAGGGTGGAGAGGGGGAAGGGGAGGAGGATGGAGAGGGGGAGGAGGAGAGGGAAGGGGGGCTGGTGGCGAGAGCAGAGACGTTTGCTAGAGCCCAGGCGGGAGGGGGGAGATGGGAGGTGAGCCGGTGGTATGGGTCGGGTGGCGAGGGGTGGGGGGAAGGAGCCTGGCGCTGCACGAGGGGAGAGAGAGGGGCAGGTAAATAGCAGAGGGGAGGGAGGGAGAGGGGGAAAGGGGTCGGGGACACAAATGAGAGAGCAGCAGAGAGGGTAGCTAGGACCAGCCGGGAGGGGGGGGATGGGAGGTGAGTCGGTGGTATGGGTCGGGTCGCGAGGGGTGGGGGGAAGGAGCCTTGCGCTGCAAGAGGGGATAGGAGGGGAAAGGCACAGAGCGGAAGAGAATCAGAGGGGCAATGGAGGGGCCGGCAGCAAAGGAGAAGGGTTGGGGCAACGGAGAAAATGATTACACCAGATAGGTGAGGAGGCACGGCTGGAGCGCTGACAGATGGCGCAAGGCAAGGAGGAGCGGAGTAAGAGGTCTAGTGGACAAAGTTGTGCTGAACATAAGAAGGGAGAAAATGATTACACCAAATAGGTGAGGAGGCACGGCTGGAGGCCTGACAGATGGTGCAAGGCAAGGAGGAGGAGAGACGGGGATGTTTAATGGAGAAGGTAAACGATTCTGGCAGACAGGTGCATTATCGTAGATGGCCCGGAAGAACGATTCATACCAGGCAGGAGAGGAGGCACGGTTGGAGCGCTGACAGATGGCGCAGGGAAGGGAGGAGGGGAAAGAGAGGCCTAGTGGGCAAGGCCAGAAGTTAAGTTGAGGTAGAAAGGAAGAGAAGAGGGAATGATCGTACCAGGCAGGAGATAAGGCAGGGCTGGAGAGCTGACAGATGGCGCAGGGCAGGGAGGAGGGGGGATGGCAGGCGCCACGTCAGCAGCGGGATGGTGAGAATGTGGGCGGAAAACTGATCTGCTGCCAGTGATGCCCATGCTGCATGCAAAGGAACGGAACATAGGGCATACAGACAGGGATGCGAGAGTAGACTTTTGAGATGCGTCCAAATTCAAATGTGGGCGGGCGGCAAACTGATCTGCTGCCAGAGAGGCCCACGCTGCATGGCAGGGAACGGAGCGACGGTAGAGACGGGCCGAGTAAACCAAAGAATAAGAGGAAGGGACTGTTCAGGACACAGCTCTGTTGAAACAGTTTTTGAGGCGCCTCAAAAATCGTCTCAGTTTTTGAGGCGCCTCAAAATCGTCTCAGTTTTTGAGGCGCCTAAAAAACCGTCTCAGTTTTTGAGGCGCCTAAAAAATCGTCTCAGTTTTTTAGGCGCCTCAAAAATCGTCTCAGTTTTTGAGGCACCTCAAAGAATAAGAGGAGAAGGGATTGTTTAAGACACAGCTCTGTTGGAACAGGGGATTAATATACTCGAGGCACAATGAGACGATGGAAGGGAGGCACAATGAGACGAGGGAAGGAAAATGCGGTCCTTAGGAAAATAGCGGTGGGCAGGTAAACGTATGACTTACCAGATGGCAGCTTCCCAGCAACTTCTTGCCCATCTTTCCTGCCCGAGAAAACAATGATAGGTCTGAGAGCCACCGTCATTGCAGCAGCGGTCAGCAAAAATATTTGCTGGGCAACCTGAGCTCCTCCCCCACCTCCTCCCATCCCTCCTCCTTTCCCCTTCATTTCCCTCCACCCGTCCACGGGCGGGGCGGCAGAGTTTGTCAGTATGTGCATGCGCAGTGCAGGGTAGATCCCTGTGGCACCTGATGCAGTACCTGCCAACAGAGAAAGCACCTGAGCCTCTGCTGCTGCCAGGGTGCTTTCAGGGGAGGAGGAGGCGGCGACAGCTGGCGATTTGAGGAAGCGCCAAGTGGCAGTGTCACAGAGTGACACGTGGACACGCATGGCGAGAACTGTGAGTAGGAGAGAGGGTGCTGATGGGGTGGTAGTGGTGTGCGTGTGAGAGGAGGGAGGGGCAGAAGAGGAGGAGGAGGAGGAAGAGGAAGAGGAGGAGAAAAGGCTGAGGAGAGCACTGCAGAGGGAAACTATTCTATGTGCCTGGTGCTGCCACGTGGCGCACTGTGATTGGGTGCCGACGGCCAAGGAGCAGAAGTTGGTAGCAGGATCTGCATTGGGATGAACGAGAGAGGGTGAAACACATTTGCGAGAGCAGGGGGGAAGCGGACGAACAGGCGAGCTTGAGAGGCCTAGGGGATTAACAAAAGAACAGGCGAGCTTGAGAGGCCTAGGGGATTAACAAAAGAACAGGCGAGCTTGAGAGGCCTAGGGAATTAACAAAAGAACAGGCGAGCTTGAGAGGCCTAGGGGATTAACAAAAGAACAGGCGAGCTTGAGAGGCCTAGGGGATTAACAAGAGAACAGGCGAGCTTGATTAAGTGGATCGGGACTGTTGAACAGACTGCTACGAAAATCCCACTTACCTGGGAAACTTCAATAGCCCCACTTTCTAAGAGCCACACCAGCACTGACTGCCACCGTTCCACTTCCCTTCCTTCTCATCTCACCCTTCTTTTAATGGGCTGAAGCGATTCACACAAGACTAATCTCAAGCCCTCGCTTACCTGGGGAATCCAGACTTTTTAACAGCCACACCAGCACCGACTGTAACCGTTGCACTTCCTTTCCTGCTCCCCCTCCACCTATCCCTCCCCCTCCCCCTCCCCCTCCCCCTCCCCCTGCCCCTCCCCCTGCCCCTCCCCCTGCCCCTGATCCTGCTCCGGTCCCTCCCCCTTCCCCTCTGCTTCCCCCTTTCCCCCCCTCCCCCCTCCCTCCAATTCTCCACTCCCTTTTCCGCGCATCCCACAGCAAGAACAGCACCGGCGCCAGAAGCTTCTGGGAAACTTCATCGGCTGTTAGAGGCGCTGGGGGCTGGCCCCCCACTGCTGCCATGCGGGAAGCATGCCACGTGTCCCACTCGGATTGGACGAGCTGGCGAGCGACGCAAGCTGCTTTCCTGCCACGCCACACACGCTGATGTGGGCAAACGGAATTACAGAATGGGTGGGTGAGTGGGAGGGTGGGCGAGTGAATGGGTGGGTAGGTTTGTGGGTGAGTAAGCGAGTGGGTGGGTGGGTAAGTGTGTGGTGCGAAACCATTTAATGGAGCACCTGAAACGCCGACTGGATCACCTGAAACGCCGACTGGAGCACCTGAAGCGCCGATCTGGCGCCTGGCGCACCTGAATGAGCGCGGCGGAGGCCGCGGACTTGCGGGCCTTGCTGCGCGCCGCGCGCTCTTCCGCCACCTTGTTCAGTAGCGCGTTCCGCGACACCTCGCGCGCGCTCGCCCCGCGCAGCGACACCTGCGGAGTCCGGCGGGGGAATAGGAGATAGGAATTCGCGACAGGAAAATATTGAAATGAGAAAATTCGAGAGATTCGACGGGGTAACAGGAGGGAGAGAGTCGAGCGTAACAGAACAGTCTGGCAGGGCGTTCCGTGATACGTCCGTTCCGCTCACTCCGCCAAGCGACACCAAGTGAAGATTTAGTCAAGCTCTTAACGACACGTGTCATGTCAGCATAGGGTCGATCTGGTACACCCAGTGACAGCACATGCCGACAAACACTGCACGGCATGGAAGAAACGTAACGGTCGGACTCCCAGACGTAATGGATCCAAGGAAATCTAGCTCCTTCCTACTCCAACTGAGCAGCTCCGCGCTCACCTCGCGTCGCCCTCCGAATTGCATCCTGACCGTTGGACCGCTCCTGGCCTAGGTCGGCAAATTACGATACGGACTGGACTTGTCCTGAGCGTTGGTTGAGTAGGATGATTCCAGGATGCCCTGAGACTAAGTTAAGACAAGTTTTAGGAGACGGTGGAGTTAAGTAGCACACAGGAGGTCGTAACAATAGTCTCTAGGTACTTCCTGAGTTCTGAAGTCGTGAGTACGAATTCTGTAGCATGTTGAATGTCTGACTTTTTGGAGGGATGCATTTGATTGGAACTGCTCCGATACCAGGATCTCAAGTAAGAGAAATTGGCTTCAATTGCAAAACACTTGCAGCTCGAGTCACCCTGTTTGTTTAGGCGAAATCGAGTGGTTGGGTTGGAGGTTCAGTGTGCGACTGATCCCCGATTTGCCCGTGAATCTCAATTGCTGGGAAATGAGCTTCGGAACCCAACCAGATTTCCGTGCCTAGTTGGTTCGGAAGTTCACTGCGATTTTTGTTTGCTTCGCATCCCTCGTTTCAGCTCTCGTCAACTACTCTACCTCGTCAACCAATCACAGCCTAACACAATTCACTAACTGCAAAACAGCCAAACTACTTGAGATCCTGGCTTTAATACTGGGGGACTGAGATCCAGTCATGTAGTCATTACAATTTGAGTAACACCTATATCAATGTAGTGTACAAGGACTTCACCAGTGAGCTGGGCTGCGTGACCGCGCTCGCTCCCCTGGCAGTCCATTTCGGAAATGGGGTGAGTGATGGCAGCCTTTCAGCCAAGGGGAAGCTGCTATTTGCCAATCGGAAGCTTCTTTCGCGTGCCCAAGCCTGACGTCAGACCGTAAAACCCTCACTATTGCCTATGTGTCGATCGCGGAATGTTGACATGGCAATATATGATTCGTGAAATTACTTCGCCGAATGGCTCCTCGGAGCAACCCGTAATGTTTTTCCAGGGCTGCCCTGACCACAAGTTCCCCCCCCCAACCCCCGTGCTCCACTCCTGCACTAATCTTTTCCGCATTCTCCGCCAATTTCCCCCAACAGTCTCCGCCTCTCCCCCGCCCTTGCTATATATTTTCCACCAGTCAACCTCCAGACTCCTCTCATATTCGCTCTCCGCTTTAGTCGGAGCTCTTTCTTTCCTCTCTCCTAAAGACCTGGTTTTCCCAGGCTCTCCGCATTCCACGGTTAGCGCGTAAGAGAATCTTTACGCCGTCGAGCTATCGGCTGCTTATCTCTCTTTTAGCCGTCAAGACGAGCTAACCTAGAACCATCATGGCTCTTTCCTGCGGAAGCTGCACGCTCGGCAAGACCCCTGTGTCCGGTCTCTCTCTCAAAGATGACGCAACCCTCGCGTCGGCCAAGAGCGCCGTCGTCATGTCGCCCATGCCACGTGTCGAGAAGCTGAGCGCCGCTGGCAAGAAGGCCGCAGCTGTCGTGGTCAGCGTGAGGTCGCAAGCCGTCGCCACCGCGACCACGAAGCGCGGCGCGGAGGTGCAGTTCGAGAGCAAGGTGTTCACCAAGGAGAAGATCAACCTCGCCGGCCGTGAGGAGGTACACATTTCTTTTTTTCTTTTCGTTTTTGTAAATCGATATTGAGACGTCGATTAACGCGGACGTGAAGTTCGAGAGCAAGATGTTCATCAAGGAGAAGATCAACCTCGCCGGCCGTGAGGAGGTAAGCGAGTGTTTCCTAGAGCTCCCCCACCCGATATTGAGACGTCTTAAACGCGAAGGTGCAGTTCGAGAGCAAGGTGTCCATCAAGGAGAAGATCAACCTCGCTGGCCGTGAGGAGGTACACATTTTCGTTTGTACTTGTCGTTTTTGTTAATCGATCATGGGAAGACTAGGCTCGCCGGCCGCGAGGAGGTAGAACGACATTCTTTTCAGACTCTCAACATTCGATTCTGAGATGTTGGTGAAACGGACGTTGCTGAAACGCGAATGTGGAGTTTGAAAGCATGGTGTTTTTCAATGCATTAAATAAAACCTTTGAAAGCTTTTTTTCCCTTCTCTTCATTGGCGTCGCTTTTGGGTTCACCCCCATGAAGTCGTTCGCTCGAGAAATGTTCACATCGCAGTTTTTTCGAACCGATGCCATTATGCGATTCCCGCCTGCGCATCCCTCGTTGGTGCGAGTATCGTCGGTTGAGAGTAGCGGATTCATCCACAGAGCACTGTCTTTGCGGATTCCTCGATTTGCGATATCTCACGTGTCATATTGAAGTGCTTTCTTAGCCGAGTCATCGGGCCACTCCGTATTCACTAATCGCTGATCGTTGATCCTCGATGTCTCTAGCACCACATTCGCTTCATATTGCCGTCCTCCGCCGCGTCCTTCCCCCCATCAGTACATCGTCCGCGGTGGGCGCAACCTCTACCCGCTGCTCGCGGAGGCTTTCAAGGGCATTAAGAAGATCGGAGTCATCGGCTGGGGTTCTCAGGCGAGTATAAGCTCGTCTTTCTGTTTCCCAATATTTTTCTCCCAATTCAGGCTTAAACCCTGTTTCTTTGTCTTGCAAGTCTCGGCAATGCAGTTTATTCCGATTCCCGCAAAATCAACCCGTTCGCAACAGAAAACTCCTTCGCAACAAGGACCCGTTTTTCAACGTCTTGTATCGCGTATTTCATTCTCCAAACACATCTGTCGCATGCCTCTCCTCAGTCGCAGATTATCCCCTTACTGCATCTTATTCGTATTCTAATATTTTATCTCGGAATATCCACGATTCCCTCGTTTTTCCGTTGTTGGTTTCTCATCCATTCCGAGTTTCTCTGTATCGCGTATTTCCACATCGCAGGGGCCCGCTCAGGCGCAGAACATCCGCGACTCTCTCGCGGAGATCAACTCCGACATCACCGTCTCCGTAAGTCGCATTATCCCCGTTCTATCGCACTCCCCAGGATTTCATGTTTTTTACTCGGATGTTTTCTACATTGCATGTTGCAAGGCCCTTGCATAACAGCATATAATGGATTATGGATGTTACGAAGCCAATTTTCTGACTTCCAACCACAATCTGTTGTTGAGCGTGATCGACATGTCCGTGTTCTGGGCTCTCTCGACATCGCTGCATCATGACATTTCGGAACCTTTTTCTCTCTTTTTTGTTCGCTTTTCTGCTTCCGACCCCTTTCCGTCGGTCCTTGTCCACGTGTCACTTCCAGATTGGTCTGCGCCCCAGCTCGTCCTCCGCGAAGGATGCGCGCCGATGCGGATTCACGGAGGAGGCCGGCACGCTGGGTGACGTCACCAAGGTCATCTCTGAGAGCGACCTGGTCATTCTCCTCATCTCCGACGCTGCTCAGGTAAGATGGATTCGCTATAGTGTGATACTCGAGATAAGGTAAAGAGGAGTTAGGGACGTCACCAAGGTCATCTTCTAGAGCGACCTGGTCATTCTCCTGATCTCCGACGCTGCTCAGGTAAGAATGACTCTCTATGGTGTGTACTCGATATAGGGTTAGGAGCGCTGGGTGACGTCACCAAGGTCATCTCCGAGAGCGACCTGGTCATTTCCGAGAGCGACCTGGTCATTCTCCTGGTGAGGATGATTCATTTCTCTATGAACTCGATACAGGTTTAGGAGGAGGAAGGCACGCTTCTGGGTGATGTCACCAAGGTCACCTCCTGGAACGACCTGGTCATTCTCTCCTTATCCTCCTCCAACGGTCTCCCCCCGTCTCTCCTCATCATCCGCCCCTTCTCCTGGGCCACCTGCAGTCGCGCGGAAAGGGCTTCCGCGACGACATGAGCGTCGTGGCCGTGTGTCCCAGGGGCATGGGGCCCTCCGTGCGGCCTGCACCCCTCATTATCCCTCCTCATCCGCCCCGACATCAGCGTCGTGGCCGTGTGTCCCAAGGGCATGGGGCCCTCCGTGCGCCCCTCACCCCTTTCCTTACCCCGTTTTAACTCCTCCTTTTTCCGCCGTTTCTCCCTCCCCCCTATCAGGCGGACAACCACGAGGCGATTCTGGGCGCCATGAAACCCGGCGCCGTGCTGGGTCTCTCGCGGGCCACCTGCAGTTGCTCGGTAAGGGCTTCCGCGCCTCACATCGCTCTGTACCCCTTTGATCCCCTCCGTTCTCTCCCTTCCCCCCTTATCAGGCGGACAACCACGAGGCGATCCTGGGAGCCATGAAGCCGGGAGCCGTGCTGGGTCTGTCGCACGGGTTCCTGCTGGGTCACCTGCAGTCGCTCGGAAAGGGCTTCCGTGATGACATCAGCGTGGTCGCCGTGTGCCCCAAGGGCATGGGGCCGTCCGTGCGGCGGCTGTACGTGCAGGGCAAGGAGGTGAACGGCTCGGGCATCAACGCTTCGTTCGCCGTGCACCAGGTAAGGGACTGGGGATCCTTGATTGGGGAAGAGCTTTTGGAAAGCACTGCAGGAAGCGGGACCTACCTAAGAGCAAGACTCAAAGAATCAGGCACACTCCACCAGGAGTCAGTACAAAGCAACGCGGTTCGTTCGTTGTGTGTGCACCTTCTTATGACTCGCCTTTCCGTGCTGTGCTCCTCCCTTCCTGTGCCACGTGGCAGGACGTGGACGGCCGCGCCACTGAAGTGGCTCTGGGCTGGTCCGTGGCGCTGGGCTCGCCCTTCACGTTCGCCACCACGCTGGAGGACGAGTACAAGAGCGATATCTTTGGGGAGAGAGGTGAGGAATAGGGGTTGTGGAGAGAGGTGCGCACTGCAATGCGTGAGTGGGTGTACTGGCTGGTTGGGTGGCCCTGAGCTCGCCCTTCATGTTCGCCACCACCCTCCAGGACGAGTACAAGAGCGATATCTTTGGAGAGAGAGGTGAGGAGTGGGGGTGCTAACAGGAGTAGTGGGAGAGGTTGGATGTTTCTGCAGCATAGTAGTAGCTGGTCTGTGGCTCTGGGCTCTCGCCCTTCACCCTTGGCCACCACACTCAAGGACGAGAACAAGAGCGATATCTTCGGGGAGAGAGGTGAGGAGCCCTGTATGTGGAATTCGGCGTGCATGGGCGGGTGGAGGCATTGCCCCCGGGGTACATGGCGGCCTTATGCGGACACAGTGCCTGCATCAGCAGCACACAGGGAGGGGCCATGAGCGACGAGTTGAGGTGTGGCATGCCTTCCTCAACTCGTTCCTCCTCTCCCTTTTTCCCCTTCTCCCTGGTTTTCCTCCCCTTCCTCACCTCAGGCATCCTGCTGGGCGCCGTTCCAATAATCAGCTTCTGTGTTACAAGTAGCATTCCTCCCTTCAACTTTCCAACAGGATGTTTACCTATTCTGCCCAGTCCATCGTGGAAGACGAAATTTGTCCATTTTGCGAATCCCAAGTGAGCTCTGAACGCAGTTGGGATTCGCAAAATGGACAAAATTCGTCTTCCACGATGGACTGGCGGGTCCTACGATGCTTGCGGTACACGGCGGGTCCTATGATGCTTTCCTTACACGGCGGGTCCTATGATGCTTTCCTTACACGGCGGGTCCTATGATGCTTTCCTTACACGGCGGGTCCTATGATGCTTTCCTTACACGGCGGGTCCTATGATGCTTTCCTTCAGCTCATTCCTCCACTCCCCTTTTCCCCGTCTCCCCTTGCTACCTTCCCCGCTTCCCTTTCCCCCAGGCATCCTGCTGGGCGTGGTGCACGGGCTGGTGGAGGCGCTGTTCCGGTTCTACACGGCGGGCTGAAGGGCTCTCTCAACCGAGAGCATTCCTCCACTCCCTTGCATCGCACTGCACCCCTCATTGCAGGCATTCTCGTGGGTGCCGTGCACAGGCTGGTGGAGGCGCTGTTCCGGCGGCGCTACACGGCGGGCGGCATGAGCGACGAGGAGTTGAGTGTGGCATGCATTCTTCAACACTCCCCTTTTCCGCTTCCCTCACTGCCCCTTTGTCCTACCCTCTACAGGTATTCTCCTGGGCGCGGTGCACGGGCTGGTGGAGGCGCTGTTCCGGCGCTTCACGGCGGGCGGCATGAGCGACGAGGAGGCCTTCAAGAACACCGTGGAGTGCATCACTGGCAACCTCTCCAAGACCATCTCCACCAAGGTGCGATTGGAATATATATGCATACATACATATATATATATATATGGAAATATACATCTACATATACATGGCTATATACGTTAATGGTGAATTGTAGTACAATGAGAGTATGGCAATAAAGAGTTCAAAAACACTATGGAGGGCATCACTGGCAACTTGTCTATGACCATTATTCGCCAAGGTTCACTTCCTTTTCCCGTCTCATGCCCTTGCTCCCTTTTTTCCCACTCCCTGCCCTCTGTCCCGCAGGGCGTGCTCGCAGTGTACGACTCCCTATGGACACCCTTCTCATTCTGTGCCCCGTCCCTGCCTTTTGTCTGTCCCTCAGGGCATGCTCGCGGTCTATGACTCGCTCACCGAGGAGGGCAAGAAGGAGTTTGAGACGGCCTATGCGGCCTCCTACTATCCCGCAATGGACATTCTCCTCATTCTGTGCCCCTTCCCTGCCTTGTGACTGTCCCGCAGGGCATGCTATCTGTATATGACTCTCTTTCTGAGGAGGGCAAGAAGGAGTTTGAGACGGCCTATGCCGCCTCCTACTATCCCGCAATGGACATTCTTCTCGAGTGCTATGAGGACGTTGCCTGCGGCAACGAGATCCGCTCCGTCGTGCTCGCTGGCCGCCGCTTCTCGGTAAGATCCTTTCCTCCCTCTCGCCGTAACTTTCTTGCGGTAGTGAGATCTGCTCTGTCATGCTCTCTGACGGCCTCTTCCCGGCCTCTTGCACCTCCTCCTGTGCCTCGTGTTTCTGATCCTCTATGTTTTCACTTCACTCATCTTTGTATCCTTCCTCGTATTCCTTCGCTTCCTCTCCCTCCCCCACCCCCGCAGCCCAAGGAGGGCTTCCCCTCGTTCCCCATGGGCAAGATCGACCAGACCCACATGTGGAAGGTCGGGGAGAAGGTGCGAGCAGCCCGCGCCCCTGGTGCCCTCGGCCCGCTCCACCCGTTCACCGCGGGCGCATACGTGGCAGTCATGATGGCTCAGATCCAAGTGCTGCGGCTGAAGGGGCACTCGTACAGTGAGATCTGCAACGAGAGTGTGATCGAGGCGGTGGACTCGCTCAACCCCTTCATGCACGCCCGGGGTGTAGCCTTCATGGTTGACAACTGCTCCACCACGGCCCGCCTTGGCTCCCGCAAGTGGGCTCCCCGCTTTGACTACAACCTGAGCCAGCAGGTGAGCGGGCACGGGGGCAGGAGGGCTTGGTGTGTGGGAGAACAGAAAATAACAGATCCAAGTGCTGCGGCTGAAGGGGCACTCGTACAGTGAGATCTGCAATGAGAGTGTGATCGAGGCCGTGGACTCGCTCAACCCCTTCATGCACGCCCGGGGCGTCGCCTTCATGGTTGACAACTGCTCCACCACGGCCCGCCTTGGCTCCCGCAAGTGGGCTCCCCACTTTGACTACAACCTGAGCCAGCAGATAAGTGCTCCTGCTCCGGCAGTCGGGCAGGCAGGCAGGCAGGCAGGCAGGGGTTTGTCCATCTGAGTCGTGGTGTATGGGAAACAGGCAGCAGGTGAGACAGAGGCAGAGGGTTTCATGCTTTTGGCAGTGTCAGTCTGGTTGGTATCGATGCATCCATCTTCATTCCCTTCACTCCATTTACATCCTCCTCACTCCCTCATCATCACCCTTCTCCAGGCGTTCGTGGCAGTGGACAAGAACACGCCCATCGATGCATCCATCATCACTCCCTCTCACTCCCGCCCACTCCCACCCACCCCTTGTAACTCCTTGCCAATCCCTCGTCACCTCCCTTGCTTTCCCCACCAGGCGTTCGTGGCAGTGGACAACAACACACCGGTCGATGCATCCATCATCGCGGCCTTCAAAGAGCGACCCCCCCGTGCACGATGCCCTCTAACTCCCTCTCCCCTTTGTCATCCCCCTTGTCCAATCCAGGCGTTCGTGGCAGTGGACAACAACACCCCGTTCGATGCATCCATCATCGCGGCCTTCAAGAGAGACCCCGTGCACGATGCCACTCCCTTTCCCCTTTGTCATCCCCCTTGTCCCATCCAGGCGTTTGTGGCAGTGGACAACAACACGCCCGTCGATGCATCCATCATCGCGGCCTTCAAGAGCGACCCCGTGCACGATGCCCTCGCCGGCTGTGCCTCTCTGCGCCCCTCTGTGGACATTGCGGTTACCGCCGATGCCGACTACGTCAGGGAGGAGCTCCGCCAGTAGGATCCTGCCTGCTTACTTCTAGAATGGACCTGCTGTTGTGTTGATGTTTGCTAAAAAAATGTTGACAAATTAGAAAACATAAGGTTATCAGGCCTGTCATTGCTCCTGGGTTTGCTTGCCAGTTGTCAGATTCCTGGAGTACACCAAAAGCCAGCTGATGAAGGAATCAGTAGCACTGTATCTGCAGTTGGGGTATGATGTCACTTAGCCTCTCAGCCTCTTGCACGATGTCCTGGCTGGCTGTGCCTCTCTGCACCCCCACCCCAGTGGACATTGCAGTTACCGCCAATGCTGACAACGCCAGGGAGGAGCTCTGCCAGTAGGCTGCCAAGTGTTCTGGTACTGCGGATCAGCAATTGATGTTTTTTCTATAACATATTGAAAGGTTGAAAATATAATATGGCATTAGCATGCCTGTCGTTATGGCTGTGCTTGCCGATTTTCAGATGTCTGATTCACCCAAATCAAGCTGATACCGGCACAGGAATCAGCCCAATGATATTCAGATTGTTGTCCAAACATTCCATCGCTAGTGCCAACCCAATAGTAATCCAACTGGAGAAATTTAGGGTGGATTGTTTCAAAACATCCACACGCTGTACCAAGCCCATAATCAATCGCGATACAGTTTCACCTCACACCCGAGACAATCGAGGTGGTGAAGAAATCCATCCTCAAGGTGCTCTTCCCAGCCAATCGCGTGCGAGCAAGGTATTTCCTCTCAGCAACTAGCCATTGCCTGAACTCACATCACACAGCAGCAGCCTGAATCAAGTCACATAGCGCTCTGCACCAACCAAGGCTTACCTTCGTCCTTGGTTAATCCAGCCCACTACTGTATGAGAAATCAGGCTCTTACTGCGTAATATTTTCATTGATGCGACGAACCGAGCCGCTCGCTGAGCAACGATGAAGGCGTTTTCGCTAGCGAAGAAGAAAACCCCGTTTCAGAAGCATCGGGAAGAGGAGGCGAAAAAAAAGGTAAGTCGTCGCTATCGGAGGATTTTTTATAATTTCTTATGTCACCGTTTCTCTAATAATTGCTTTGCGTCCTTTATGTTAATAGGTCTCTAAATGTTGTTCCAGCCTTCTGTCAAGTGTAGCTTATAACCCTTCTGTTTCCCCTTTTCATGTGGAACTTTAACGCCTTTTTTTTTTCCCTCTTACCACTCTTTAACTATGATGTGTCGTCTTGCAGCGCGAAGCGGAGGAGGCGGCGCGAGTCTACGATGAATTCGTCGAGTCTTTCAAAGTGGATGATAAGAAACCGAAGGCATTTGTCCGAGGAGGAACCATTAACCCCAACGCGAAGCACGACACACCGGGGGAAGGTACAGCTGCTTAGTTAAGCATCTCTTGGTGGATTTTCTAGACCTTTTCCGAATTTCTCTTTGGGCCATTTCCGCATCCTATCACGCCTATCCTATTCTCTGCTGCCGACCTGTGTTCCTTTTTCGTTATAATCACACCAATGTCCTCCATAACCCGGTAGCTTCCTCTTCGCGGGAGACTCTGATACCAGTGGGTTTCTTTCCGGGATTCCCTTGTCGCTCGAGGTTGCGACAAACTCGTTACAGGAGGCTTCGTTCTTAATTTAATAGGCTGTGATGTACCCATTTATGCCGAACATATCTCCTTTGCAGAACCTGGAAGCGCTTCCAAAAAGGCCACAGCGAGGTGAGAGGCCTTCCGGCGCCTCCTCCTGTCCGACATTCCTCTTCCCACAGCGTATCATGTCATATCGTATCAGATCTTAAATCAGAAAGGCTTGGCGAGCCTAGGACAATGCAATCTCACCTGGCAGGATAAGCCGAAGGAATCTTCTGAGATTCAACCTGTCGAATCCTCAGATCTATTCTCTGCTGTACACCTAAAATTCGTTCGTTTTTGTCGGGGGCCCGGTTAGTGTGACTGATCATAGGTGGTCGTTGATTATGGTCGTATTTGGTGATGATTCTAATAGCGGGATTATGATAATGAGATGACACTTCGTCCCTTTCTGTACCTCACTCCTCACCCTTCTCTCCGCCCTGCCCCGATGCGGAATTGGTTTGCCGATTTCCCTATCCTCCCCCTCCCCTCCCCCCCACCGTCCCCCACCTCTTTCTCTCCCGCCCCTTCTGCCTCGTGCGTTTTTCTCCCCTTCCGTTTGTGCCTGCCTTCGTATCCCGTCCTGTGCTCCCTCCCCTCTCTCGCCTTCTTTTGCCTGTCTGCCCGTCGCATGTGTGCTGCTGTATGTATGCATGGCAGATATGTTCCGTCCTTCCTGCCGCCTCCGTCGCAAAGCCCACTGGCAGGAATCCTATCCAAGGAAAAAAATGTACGTGCACTGCAGCACTGCTGTGCACACTGCACCACAACCATGGGATTGCCAAAAGAGCCCGTCTTTCCAGGCAACTCCAAGTCGTGAACAATTAAGGCATGATGTTCATGCAAACACATTTTTTTGCGCTTCAAAGTTCGCGTACAATCGTGGGAGTGCCATGTCATGTCATGTCAATTGAGTGAGTGCACAGCGCCTTTCTTACCTACCCGTTCTTTGGCTCGGAGCACTGGATGCACGTCTTCTTCAAACAAGTCACTTTCAATCCTCGTTGCTCGCTGTCTTGCTCTCTCCCTCAACCCCCCTCTCTCCACCCCTCCCCCACTCCCCCACCACCCCCCGCCCCCACCGTCTGTCCACTCTCCCACCCACCTTTTCTCCATTACTCTTTCTAGTGTGTATGAACCTGCAAAACCATCATGCAAACCTCTGGCCTTCCCTTTGCCATCCCCGTCCCTTCCCACGTCCCTTCCTCCTTCCCTCCCTCTGTCCCACCCCCCCCCCCCCCCCCCCCCCCCCGTCCCGTTACACAGGCATTCAGCCTGGATGAACCAGAGACGCCAGCCGAGCCTGTTCCAAAGCCAAAGGAGCAGAAGAAGCCGCGGAACATCGATTTCTTTATGCAGGAGCTGAAGCAGGAGCAGGAGCTGCGCGAGCAGAGGGAGAAAGAGCTCAAGGAGCGAGCAGAGGCGAGGGCGGCAGGCAAGCCGTATGGCAACGAGGGGCAGCCGTCGCTGCTGGGGAGTGAGGGCACGGATCTGCTCCAGCCGTTTCCCGATGGAGTTCGAAGAAGGGTGGGTTTGTGACTGGTTTCCTCTCGTTTGTTTCCCCTTTCCGACCCCCCCCTCCTCCCCTCCACCCATTCTCTGTGTTCCCCGTTTTCTTATCAGATTATCCCATTGTTTTCTTTGCTCTTTTTGAAGAGTTGTGTTTGGGCCCTAAGTATATCATAGCCACCCTCCTGGCCTCACCACCGTCCACTCCACTCCACTGACAATGAGGGATAGCCTCTTGTTTAAGGCTCCTCTATAATATTTATTTATAGACCCCCCCCCCCCCCCTCTCTCCCCCCTCCCCTTCTCTCGCCCCGCCCCTTCTCCGTCCCTTCCCAACAACCCGGACCCTTTGTCCATTCATCCATGCATGCAGCCGTCCAAATTCGACACAGGGCCGCCCCTGATCGCGACGCCTCCGGGCATCACCACTGTTTCTACCGACGATGGGGGAGACCCCCTCACCACCAACCTTTATGTCGGCAACCTGTCTCCCAAGGTAAGGTGTGAAGCACGGAAAGGGGTGTGGCGTGCAATGCAACAGGTGATGATGGTTGCAGTGTGTTGTTAATTAGGAGTGGTGGACGGTTCGCCCATCACCACGGCCTGGGGTGTGGCATGCAACAGGTGGTGATGGGAGTCGTCAGTGAGTAAGAAAGAAACGAATACGTAACGGTGAGTTGTAAGATAGGAGTGGTGAGTGATGGAGGTGAGATCATCTTGCTTTCACTCTTCCGTTGCACTTTCAATTCTTCACGCTCACGTCCTCCTGCACGTTCCCAAGTCTTCCCTCATGTCCTTGTAACGAGCTCGGAGATTTCCTGCTAAACTAGTGCCGTGCCACTGCTGCCCAATGTCTTACCACATGAGATGTCATTCACCGGATCTGAGCCTAGATGGAAGTAATCATGGTAGGCGTTGAGGTTTGGGAGCGTAGGGGATGGGTTTGATGGACGTCTCAAGAGAATGCCTGCTGCAATCATGAGTCGTCCAGCAAACTCATTCCCTGCACCTCATATCTTCTGTGGTCTATTAAGATCATTTCCATCCAGGCTCAGATCCAGTGGGAGACATTCCACATGGTAGGACTTTGGGCATTGGTGGGGGGACGGCACTAGTTTAAAATCATCCACGTGAAAGCGAATTTTCTGCTTAAGTCCTTTGATCGGTTTGGCTCGATAGCAAGTGTCAAGATCATGTGGCCGCAAACAGAGGAGGAGCATCGGTGGGGTTTTAATCAACGCTATTGCTTCCTTTTCCCCCTTCCTCTTCTCTCTTCCTCCTCCCTCTGCATCTCTGGTCAGGTGGACGAGAACTTTCTCCTGAGGACGTTTGGGCGGTTTGGGCCGATAGCGAGTGTGAAGATCATGTGGCCGTGCACAGAGGAGGAGCACCGGCAGGCAGGGCTTCAACCTTCCCCTTGCTCTCCTTCGTTCCCCCCTTTTCGCGCTCTTCTCCCTTGCCTTCCCCGTCCTCCTCAACGTCCCTCTCCAGGTGGACGAGAATTTCCTGCTAAGGACGTTTGGGCGGTTTGGGCCGATCGCTAGTGTGAAGATCATGTGGCCGCGCAAAGAGGAGGAGCACTGGCAGGGCTCTAATCTCCCCGCACTCTCCTTCATCCCTGCCCTCTTGCTCCCCTCCCTTGTTTTCCAGGTGGATGAAAATTTCTTGCTGAGGACGTTTGGGCGGTTTGGGCCGATAGCGAGTGTGAAGATCATGTGGCCGCGCACAGAGGAGGAGCACCGGCGGCAGCGCAACTGCGGGTTCGTGGCGTTCATGAAACGAGCTGACGCTGCCAAGGCCAAGAACGAGATGGACTGTACGTTCAGAGGGGGTGTATGGTGTGTGTGTGGGGGAAGGAAAAGGCAACTGCGGGTTCGTGGCGTTCATGAAGCGTGCCGATG